TCTCCCTCAGAGTCCTCAACAGTTTAAGCAGCTTCTGATGGTTGGCGGTTTAGACAGGTAAGCTTTTTTTGTGCCAGTAGTTGTCAGAAAAGGAAAAGGGAAAAAAGAAAGAAAGGAGACTAGGAAACACAAAATTGCCTGATCTCTTAAGAGAAAGTTCGAAAATTTATGAGAGTTTGGAGAATACTTACAAAAATACCCTCACAATGTGTAGTCATCATTTAGTAAAGATTTATTGGGCAGCCATCATGTACCAAGCTCTATGTTAATGGATGTGGCAGAGAATTGAAAAAAAAAATAGGTTCTGCTCTCAAGGAATTAATGAGACAGTAAGGCAGACTAGGCTAATGAATAAACCAACTGTGATACAAACCAGAATATAAGTGTATTGAGATTTACAAACTAAGTATTAAGAGGTTTGAAATTACATCATTTGGGGAAATACTATACAACACTTTGTGAGCTAGACCTCCAGGGACAGAGCTGCATTTCAGCAAGTGCAGTTGAGAACTGGAATGGCATAGCACAGGAAGGCTCAAGTGTATTCCTGGAGCGGTAAGTATTTCACTTTGGCTGAAGCAAAAGAGTATATGTGAGGAAGCATGGACTTGAAAAAAAATATTTTTAATAAAAAAAAGAAGCATGGGCTGATGTGCATGCCAATCTAACATATGAATATCCAAAGGTGCCAATGTATATTTTGAAAACAAAATATAGAATAGTTAACTTCTCATGGGTCATGTGTGTATCAGATTAAATTAAAACATCATTTAAAAATGAGAATATTTCCTATGTTTTCAGATATCATTATTAATTTATTTCACAGCATACATTACCATAAGCTTTGGGGGAAAAGCATATTTGTCTTCCTAGAATCGTGACTCAATTAATGCTATTTTTCAATTGTAGATATTTTCAGGTCGCCCGATGTTATCGAGATGAAGGTTCAAAACCAGACAGACAGCCGGAGTTTACTCAGGTACTAAGTTATAGTCACTTGTCTCTTACACATTCAGGCTTACTACAGCCAAGTATTTTTAAGACCAGGGTAGTAATTTCATACACTTTGCTTCTCATTACATTTTATTTGTCAGATATTTAATCAACCTGCAGTTGTGGTACTAAATATTCAATTTTTGATTTATTTCATGTGTCGTTTTCATAAGGAATGTGGTCATCAACTGAGGAATGCCAGAGATTCCTACAGCGTTTTAATGTTCATGATATGATAAAGTTCTTAAAACAGATCTCTTGTATATTAAGAACCAAAAACTCTGTATATTGTTATTTAATCTGTGGACTTACCAAAGCTACCTTGATTTGCTTTCTGTGTGACAGTATATTAATCAGTGTGGTGAAGTGAAAGAATATTAAGCTTTGGAGTTGGACAGACCTGGGATCAAATGTAGCTTCACTGCTTGCTGCACATACACAAGCAGGTTACTTAGCCTCTCTGAGCCTGAGCCAGAGAGAATCTGGCTTGTGGGAACCAAACAAGTTGATGTATGAGAGGCATTAGCACAGTGCCTGACATAAAACAGATGTACAATAATATTGATACCCTCTCCCCATATTAAGTATTTATGTGTAGAACCCTGTGGTAATTTAACAGTAGAGAAATATGTATATATTGTGGCTATTCAAGTTAGGTTCCATATATTATTTTGGTTTCAGATTGACATAGAGATGTCTTTTGTAGACCAGTCTGGGATTCAGAGTTTAATTGAGGGTTTACTCCAGTATTCCTGGCCCCACGACAAAGATCCTTTGCTGGTTCCTTTTCCTTCTATGACTTTTGCTGAGGCATTGGCCACCTATGGAACTGATAAACCTGATACTCGCTTTGGAATGAAGGTACTTCTCTTCACTTTTCCAGGACTCTGCCCCCAAATAGTCCTGCAGGCTTTTAAACCACCTTGAAATTCACAAGTGTTATACACTGTTAGATCATATTATTGTTGTTACCTTAGCAGCTTATTACTGAGCTATAGCAAGAGAGAATAATAGCCTGTTTTTTCCTATCTACTGTATTCCAAGACCCATTTCGAAAAGTCAGAGTCTTGCTCTAAAGTTTCTGTTACTTACAAGTTATTGCTTATATGGACATGAATGGTAACTTGAAAGGAAAAACTAGCCTCTTCAATTTTTTTTAAAGCCAAAATGACACTTGGAAGGCAAAGATTATTTGTTGTCCCTGTTCTGTAAAGAACTCAAGCATGTGAAAATGTTTATTCAAATTATTAGTATCTATAAATATTTAAGGTCTAAGGTAGAATTTATATAGAGCCATTCATTACCAGGCCTCTCATTATTCGCTCTTAGAGAGCCATATCCTTGATCTCTGTAATGCTGTTTTCAATGCACATTCCTTAGAAATTGAATTCTGCTTGGTATGTGAATAGTCATTGCTCAGTTCTTAGAATGAAAAATATATAATACACAAAAATCATAACTCCCTTCTTACAGCTGCCAACTTAACTACTCCTTGTTTCTTCCTTTTGTGGAATGGTGGTTCTTAAGTCAGACTACTTGGGTTAAATTCTGGCTCTGCCACTTACTAGCTGTGTCATCCTGAGCAAGTTACTTTCTTCTCTGTGCCTTAGTTTTCTCATGAGCTGGGGATTATATTCTTACATATATATGTGTAAAACACTTGTCATGGTGCTTAACCCGTGGTAAACACTCTATGAATACAGTCTACAAATGTTAACTTATCAAGTGTTTGAATGTTATTAAAACTATTCTTTCTAAAATCTTGTCTTCATGTTTAGTTACCCCTTTTTGTTACCCATTTTCCAGATTATAGATATCAGTGATAAGTTTAGAAACACAGAGATTGGATTTCTTCAAGATGCACTTCGTAAACCCCAAGGAACCGTCAAAGCCATGTGTGTCCCTGAAGGAGCAGTAAGCGAAGCATGA